CCCTGGTGCCCCCCCATCTTCACTTTTTTTTTTTTTTTTAATAAATTTGCCAGAAGGGGCTGGGAGATGGTGTGGTGGTTGTCACTGGACTCCCACATGGCCGTCTGCGGTTCGAATCTTGAACCTGGCACCTTGCTTTATCTCTCTCTTCATGAGTGCATGTGAAAAAATAATGATAATAATGAATAAAATAAATAATTATATAAAAAAATTGCCAGAGGGCGCCTTGTGCTGTGGGAAGCAAGTGAGAAAGCAGCTGCAGTGGGGAATGGCCATGCCTCAATCCCTTCCCTGCCTCCTTTCCCTCCTTTCAGGGCTCTGGGCACACACACACATGTACCTGGTGTCTCTCGGGCTGCCAGATCCGAGACGCCAGCTGCATAGTCAGCCGTGTGGGGTCCAGCTGCCTCGACCACCACTTGTTGACCCCACTGAGTTCACATCTGGTGGTTCTTAGTTGGGATGGAAAATTTTAAATGAGGTAGAAAAATCATGAGACTGGAGAATTCTTAGGGAATTATTTAGTATGTAGTTTTTCTTTTCCTGCTTTTCCAGGTCCACACCTATCATTTGTGTAAGGGCACAGGTCAAATGTAGGCTTTGAGATCGTTTTCCCAGCTCAGTGAATTGCTTTCCATTTTTAAATTTTTAATTTTAATCGTATTTATTTTATATTCATTCACTGAACATCATCACAGTATACAAAATGTAATTTCTCATCCAGAATACAACATATATTGGCTTAATCATACATTTTATTGTCAAAAAATAATTTTCCATTTCTTGTATGTGTGTGTGTGTGTGTGTGTGTGTGTATATATATATATTATATATATTACTTTATATGAAAAAGGACTTTTTATAATGTTAGAAAAAAATCAACACAATAAAAATTATAAACATATGTGTGCCAAATGACAAAATCCCCAAAATGTGTGAAGAAAAATCTGGCAGAATTGCAGGAAGAGATGAATAATTCAACAATAGCTGGAGAGAAACTATTTGATAGCTATGTTTAATCTCTACATTAGAATCACACTTAAAGTAATTTAAAAAGGCTTTCTTACATAAAATATTTGTATAGGATCCATTGCATGCTGAATTGACAAACATATTGTACTAAAAAAAACAAGCAAGCAAAAAACCTGGGCAGTTACCCTTGTTAAATTTGGGAGAAAGGGATAAACAGATTCCATTTATTTATTGATTTCAACTCTAGAAAGAATTTCATCACATTCTTTTTTAATATACAGGTATGATTTTCAGATGACTAAAGACAACCATCAAATCTGGAAGAAAAATAACTCAGCAATTGAGCCACTTGCATCAAATTTTTGTTTGCCTACCAAGACAACGTATTTTATCTATCACATTGATATCATATTTCTATTTCAAGCTAATTAGTGAAGTAAAAAATTCTTAAATCTGGAAAACAAAGCATAGAAAAAAATCAGTAATGTTTTAGTCGAAAATTCATACAATTTTATTTCACAGTCTCATGTAATTAATCTCTCTTCTGTTGTCATCTGATCTTTCCATTTAAATTCTGGAAGATAATATTCAACTCTGGACTTGTCCTTACCATTAAGTTGGCCATTTTCTTGGTTGTTTTTGAACTCTTATTTCTGTGTGTCAGACTTTAGTTTTCCTGGTATAGCAATTTGTTCAGAACTTCCTGAAGAGCTTGTCTGGTGTTGGTAAATTCTTTCAGGTTATGTTTATCTGATAATTTTTCTTTTTCTTTTTTCTATATGAAGGATAATCTTGCCGGGTATAGTGTTCTTGGTTGAAACTGTTTTTCACTTAACACTTTGAATATATTTTCCCATTCTTTCCTTACTCACATTGTTTCCGATAAGAAGTCTGCCGTTAGCCTGATGGGATATCCTTTGTAAGTGACTTGATGTTTTTGGCCAATTTTAGTATCTTGTCTTTGTTTGTGGTTTTGGTCAATCTGGCTATAGTGTGTCTTGGAGAAGATCTTGGGTTGATTCTATTTGGGGTCCTTTGTATTTCTTAGGCCTGGATCTTTGAATGCCTCTCTAGGTTTGAAAAGTTTTCTTCCAGGATTTCATGGATTATCAATGTCCTTATAAGTCTCTTCACCTTCTGGGATACCAATTATGTGGATGTTTCAACGTTTAATGGTATCTAGTATTTCTTACATGTTGCTCTCATTTTTTTAGACTATTTTCTCATTCTTCATGGTGAATTTTTCCAGAGAAGAGAGTTTTGTTTTCTACATCTGAGATTTGATCTCTACATGATCTAATCTTTTAATACTTTCATGGTAGATTTTTATTTCCTGTATTACAGCCTTCATCTCTAATAATTACATTTGATTCTTTTTTATGGTGTCTATTTCCTTTTTCAGATAGTACAAGAACTTCCTCAACTCCTGGAACTCATCAACTCTTTTTCTCCTGCATCTTTGGAGTTCATTATTTCTCTTCTCTTGCTTTTCTGTTAACTTTGTCACTATGAATATTCTTAATTCTTTTCCTGACATTTCCATGAGTTTCATTGTAATTTCACTCTAGATTGGGGTCTAGAGGGTGAAGTCTCAGCAGAAAATCTTCAGTGGTCTTAGTCCCTGAAAGGACTTGTTCACAGCTCAAATGCAGGAGTCTTCTCAGAAGGCCTATAGTTTTGCCTCTCCTAAGTGGGAGGGGGGAAGTGAGAATTAGCTAGTTAAAGGAGGACCTGAGAGCCAAGAAAATACTTTCCCTTAAATTTTTTTTTTTTAAATTGAGAGAGAGAGAGAGACAGACAGACAGACAGAGGGTGCCCTACCACTCTCTAGATAGGGGTCTAGAAGGTGAAGTCTCAGCAGAAAATCTTCAGTAGTCTTAGTCCCTGAAAGGAATTGTTCACAGCTCAAATGCCCCATTATATTCATAGTTTCCTGACTCCCTTGGTTACCCTGATAAGCGTTGCCCTACATTCTGTGGCTTCTTTGTTCACTTTCTGTCTTGTGCAGTAGTTTATATGCCCTGTCTTAGTGATCTTTCTTTAGCTTCTTCCGGAAGTAGAGATGTGGTCATAAAAATGATGTAAATTACAAAAAGAAACCTCTTTTTTTTTTTAAAATTTTTTATTCTTTGGGTTTTTCTTTTTGGCAAATACAAGTGAAATTGAAACCTCTGGTAATCCTTGAATGTATCGTATTTTGTAGGTATATCTCTGACAGTTAAATTATATTCTAACAGTATTTGTATCCCAGTTTTACTTCTTACATTCATTTACTCACATTTAGAGAAACGAAGACTCATAACTTAAGTAGCCTTAGTGTAGTGTGTGTGGTTGGTCCTCAGTCTTGTTTCCTTGAAGCTTATTAGTTGGATCAAGGAAACTTATTGAGTACTTTTTGCCTTATTATTTACACTTATTATTATTGCACTTATTATTTTTCATCGACTCTATGAGGTACTTTTTATTTTGTTTATTATTTTTTGTCATAGGGCATGTATGCTTGCCTGAGAGAAAGAAAGAAGAAAAGTGAGAAATCATTCTTCGGGGGCGATGGCCATGCTGTGATCCCTTCTCCTTTATTATCCTCTTGGGATTTTGGGCACATGTGCACATGCACAGTGTGATTTTTCAAGCCGGCGAGTCTGGGACTTGAACCATGGTTGCCATGTGGAAGTTCAGTGCCTTAACCACTGTGCTACCTGCTGGTTTCTATGAGATATTATAAATTGTAAGAAAAATAATTATTTTCTGTATAGCCAAGGAAGAGAAAATATTATTTATTAAACTATGAAACTAATTCCTCATATACTTTCATTTAGTATTTATTTGTTAACAGTTGAAAACTTAAAACTTGCAAGATATGTTGGAAGAATGTGCACATATCCTTTTTTCTAGATTCATCTATTATTAGCATTCTGTCTCATTTGTTTTTATCTGTCTACATGACTATAGACACAGTGTTTTTTGAGTTATTTGAGAGTGAGTTAAGCATATGATGACCATTTTCCTAAATGCTATGGTATATATGTATTTCTTAAGAAGATTTTTATATAATCAAAATTTAGTGATCAACTCAAATAAATTTAAATTTGGTACTTTTTTTTTTTGAGAGATTTTTGTTATAGGGCACATGTGCTTGGCTGAGAGAGAGAGAGACAGAGAGTGAGTGAGAAATCACCCCCTGGGGGGATGGCTGTGCTGCAATCCCTTCTCCTCTATTCTCCTCTCAGGATTTGGGCATGCATGCACATGTGTCCAGCGTGAGTTTTATGTTGCTGCGTCCAGGACTCGAACCACAGTCAACTACCCGGGAGTCCAGTGATGTAACCATTATGCCATCTGCTGGATTGAGACAATAATTAAATTAAATAAATTTATCTTAAAAGAATTATTTTTAATTTTTTAATTTAACTTTATTTATTTATTTATTTACTTATTTTAATTTGACCAGAGAGGGACAGAGCGAGAGAGAAAGTGAGAAAGCAAACCACCAGAGCTGGGACTCGAACCATAGTTGGCCATGTGGAAGTCCAGCACCCTTAACCACCTGCCACCTGCCAGCTCCCCGATACAGTACTCTTAATGCATCTTCAGTAATTCATTTTTGTCAGCTGCC